AATCCCGAAAAAGACAAATATGGATAGAAACCCAGACAAGACAGAGGTCCATATGCAAAGAAAAGGACTGTGGAAGGAGATGTGGTGCTCAGGGGGGTGAGGAACGCACAGGGAAGTCCTAAAGCCGTGCGAGCCTTAGGGACGGGCGTGAGCTCTGAGAAGCCCGGTACTGGGAGAATTCACTGTCCCTGAGCACGTGGAGCTCAGCGACACAAACCTGGAAGGTTTCGCCTACTGCACACCTGGCTCTATGGTACGTCACCGTCGCATAGGGTCTTTGACTGCGACGCTGCGATGCGGCACCTGACTGTATAAGAAAATTCTCAGAGCTAAGGGGACACGCGAACCTTCACAATTAGAAGGACAACTGACAGCCAAACAGAAAAGGGAAGAATGTCCCACTGAATGATAGGAAATGGCCAAAGCTTGAGCTCGCTCACTTCTCAGGATGCACTTTCACACGGGTGCCTGTTGAGTCCCCATCCAAGCTCATCCTTGCGACAGTCCAGTGCATCAACACGGCAGCTGCGAGGACGGGTGCGCTTCCCACTTCCCACGGCTGCGGGGTGCGGGCAGACAGCAGAGCAAGGCGTCCACCCTCTGAGGGCACCTGTTCCAGCCACAGTCTACAGCCAACATGTGAAGTGCCAGTGCAGAATCGTGACAGGCCTGGACATGTGAGCGCTTAGGTCAGGTCCTTCCCCACACTCTTACCTAGGACGTCGTACCAGTCAGGGCTCTCCTGCAGAGAGGCAGGAGCAGGAGGCTGTGCACACACACGTGTGAGAGGGGCCTCCCGGGGAATGGGCTCAGGCAGTCAGCAGGCTGGGAAGTCCCACGAGAGGCTGTCTGCGGCCGGGAATTGCATAGCGTGGCGCCGTCCAAGTCCACAGCCTCAGAACCAGGGCAGCTGCTGGTGTGAGTCTCAGTCCGAGGCCGTGGCCTGAGAGCCACAGTGCCGCCAGCATCAGTCCTAGAACCCAAAGGCTGAAGAGTCTCGAGTCCTGATGTCCACAGACAGGAGACAGGAGAATATCTCAGCTTCAGCTGATAGAGCCGGAGATCTGCCTTTTCCTTCGCATTTGTTCCCTCTGTGTCCCTAGAGGGTTGGATGGTGCCTGTCCACGTTGAGGGCTTTCGCACCCCGTCCGCTCAGGCGCACACGCTCCTCAGTTCTGGAAACACCCTCGTAGACTCTCCAACATAATGCTGTAGCAGGTTTCCAGGTTTTCCTTAATCTAGTCAGGCTGACACCTGAAATTAACCATCCCTGATGCTCCCGGCAGACAAGGCAGTAAATCTCCGAGGGCAGACGAGCCGAGATCTAGGAAACCATGGCCCCAAACCACGAGGTAAATGAAGGGAAGACCCAGATGACAGCTGTGCAGCTGGCCTCATGAGCCACCCCTTCCAAGAGGTGGCAGTGTGCCCAGGCTCCAGAGGAGGGGAAAGGAAAGGAGTATTAATGGGCTGCAGAAGACGATTAAATTTGGAAAACTATGAGGATAAGATCAAAGTCCAGATCCAAGACAAAGAGGAAGGACTAGTTGACATCAGTTGCTGTGACAACGACCCAGCATCCACTCCCTGCCCCTGGTCACAAAGGACCCATTCCCTGTGGGCACCAGCTGTCCCCATGACCACAGCCTTGGTGGGACAAATACAAACTGTCGTGCACCTGCCCTCCCCAGGATGAGGGGGCATGGGGGTCAGGCTCAGGCCACCTCACCCCTCCCTGGAATGAAGGAATAGGAGGAGACAGGACAACAGAACGTTTTTGTCCCAGTGGTGGAGCCTGCACAGACTGTCCGTGCTTCCTCCTCCCAGGGTCTCTAGAGCAACCGGAGTCTTTCTCTTTCCACGACCTTCTTTCTCAGCTTTTCCTGTAGCCCCATGAGCTCTGGTTTCCCATTCATTTAAAACAATCTGCTCTAGTTAGCCGCCGTCTGTTCGTTTGCTTCCAACCAAAAGTCTCTGTGGAGAAATATCAAGGAACAGGCCAAGCAGGATTGTTTGTGGTGTGCTGGGGCAGCCACAGGCTAACCAGGGCATGCTTTGTGCCTGGTCACAGAGCAGCACAAAGGGGAAGCCACTTGAGCTTGACACCAAGAAGTTTCTTCCAGATGCACAGGTACCATTGCACAAGGGACTTGCAACGCTATCGAAAGAAGGGTTATTTCTGCTTGAATGTGAGGAGAAGAAGATTTGGAAACCCTCAGCTTGAAGCTGTAGAGACTTCCTCTCAAGCTCAGCTTTTGGTTGGTGGGCACCTGCCCGGGTTCTACCTGGGTACCAAGAAGTGTAATTTCTCTTTGGGGCCCATCTACCCCCACCACAGCATGATATTCCTCCGCAACAACTGCAAGGCATTTAGATCCTGTAAATCAAAATGTC